AGGCCGTGGAGGGCGGGATGGGGTGCGTTAGGTCGATGCTTTCGATGGTAGGATCCGGCGAGCGAGGGGGCATCGCGGGCGGGGGCGGAAGCGGGGGCGGGGGCGGGCGGGGGCGCGGGTCGAGGCGACGGAAGCAGCAAACGTAAGGAAGGGGCTGAGGCTCCGGGCGGCACAGGAAGGGAGGTTGGGGGAGAGATACCCCAAGGGTACAGTATTATTGTAGGTTGGGTGACTGGCGGAGGGCCGTTGCAAGCGGCGTGGCTCGACAACAATGCAGGGATCGGGATAGAGGTGGGGATCGGGATCGGGGTCGGGATTTGTTGACATCAACAAGTCGCTGGTGAGCTATGCCACGTGTACCGAAGGACGGCGGGGGCCTGGAGGATGCCCGAGGATGACGGGGTGTGATTGGGCGGCGGGGTGTGGATTTGCGGGTTGAAAAATGGGGGCTTGACGGCAACGGAAGTCGCAAGTGGCGGCACGGGCCGTAGGCGCCAACCCTTGCTTGCAGATGGGCATCCGTTGCCGATTGGAAGCTTCTCGAGGCGGGCGACGCCCCGAATTATTTCCGTTTTTCACCCCCTTCTAGAACGTCTTTTGATCCCCGACACCCGCGCGGACGACGGCGACCTTCCCTTTGCTAAGTCCATTCCTGCACTACTTAACTCCATACGTGCCCTCCGCTACCACCCTCACTGCGCCTACGATCAGACCCGCCAGACCCGCCAGACACATTACAATTCGCCCTGCCCAGACGGCCTGACGAACAGCCCGCACCGACAAAATGACAGACCCGACCCCCGCCGCGGCCCCCGCATCGGCCTCGTCCCCTGCCCCGGAGACCTATGAGTTCCAGGCCGAGATCAACCAGTTGATGTCGCTCATCATCAACACGGTGTATTCGAACAAGGAGATTTTCCTCAGAGAGCTTATCTCCAATTCATCCGACGCCCTCAACAAGGTCCGCTACCAGTCGCTTTCGGACCACTCCATCCTTGAGCCCGAGCCGAAGATGGAGATCCGTATCGTCCCGGACAAGGTGAACAAGACCCTCACCATCCAGGACACTGGAATCGGAATGACCAAGCCGGATCTTGTCAACAATCTCGGTACCATCGCCAATTCCGGCACCAAGCAGTACATGGAGGCCCTCGCCGCCGGAGCTGACGTTTCCATGATCGGCCAATTCGGTGTCGGTTTCTACTCGTCCTACCTCGTCGCCGACAACGTCAGCGTTCACACCAAGAACAATGAGGATGAGCAGTACATCTGGGAGTCCTCCGCTGGCGGTTCTTTCACCATCGCCAAGGACTCCGGTCCTAAGATCTCTCGTGGTACCTGGATCGTCCTCCACCTCAAGGAGGACCAGCAGGAGTACCTTGAGGAGCGTCGCCTCAAGGATCTTGTAAAGAAGCACTCAGAGTTCATCCAGTACCCAATTAACCTCCTCGTCGAGAAGGAGGTTGAGAAAGAGGTCGAGGGTGAGGATGAGGATGCCGAAAAGAAGGACGACGGCGAAAAGGTCGAGGAAGTCAAGCCCGACGCCGACGCTGAGACTGAGAAGAAGGAAGGTGAGGATGACACCAAGGTCGAAGACATCACTGAGGATGACGACAAGGAGGCCGAGTCTAAGAAGAAGACCATTAAGGTTAAGGAGAACGAGTGGCAGCTTCTCAACAAGAACAAGCCTATCTGGACTCGCAAGCCCGAGGATGTCACCAAGGAAGAATATGCTTCCTTCTACAAGAGCATCACCAATGACTGGGAGGAGCATCTCCACGTGAAACATTTCACGCTTGAGGGACAGCTCGAATTCAAGGCGATCATCTTCGTGCCCAAGCGCGCGCCGTTTGACCTCTTCGAGCCCCGCAAGAAGCTGAACAACATTAAGTTGTATGTGAAGCGCGTGTTCATCATGGACAACTGCGAGGACATCATCCCGGAGTATCTCAACTTCATCAAGGGTGTTGTCGACTCTGAGGATCTTCCCCTCAACCTCAGCCGTGAGATGTTGCAGCAGAACAAGATTCTCAAGGTTATTCGCAAGAACCTTGTGAAGAAATGCATGGAGCTATTCACGGAGCTCGCTGAGAATAAGGAGGACTACAAGACGTTCTACGAGCAGTTCTCCAAGAACATCAAGCTCGGAATTCATGAGGACGCTGCCAACCGCGATAAGCTCGCTGCGCTCTTGAGGTACAATTCTACGAAGTACCCCGAGGACCTTATCTCGCTCAAGGAATACGTCGAGCGCATGAAGGAGGGCCAGAAGAACATTTACTACATTACTGGAGAGTCGAAGAAGGCCGTGCAGAACTCTCCCTTCTTGGAGAAGCTCAAGCAAAAGGGCTTCGAAGTTTTGTTCATGGTTGAACCCATTGATGAGTACTGCGTGCAGCAGCTCAAAGAGTTCGACGGAAAGAAGCTGGTGTGCGCCTCAAAGGAGGGCATGGAGCTGGAAGAAAGTGAGGAGGAGAAGAAGAAGCGTGAAGAGGAGAAGAAGGCATGCGAGACTCTGTGCACCGTGATTAAAGAACATCTCGGTGACAAGGTGGAGAAAGTCGTGGCCTCTGAGCGCCTATCTGACTCACCGTGTATCCTGGTCACCGGGGAGTACGGCTGGTCTGCTAACATGGAGCGTATCATGAAGGCGCAGGCTCTCCGTGATTCTTCTCTATCTACTTACATGAGCTCTCGAAAGACGATGGAGATTAACCCGACGAATGCGATCATTACGGAGTTGAGGAAGCGTGTGGACGCTGACAAGACGGAGAAGACAGTGAAGGATCTCGTGAACTTGCTGTTTGACACTGCGCTTTTGACGTCTGGATTTTCTTTAGACGAGCCGAACATTTTCGCGGCTCGCATCCACAGGATGATCAAGCTCGGGTTGAGCATCGACGACGACACGGATGAGGTCGAGGGTGCCAAGGAGGGTGAGGACGAGGAGTTGCCGCCGCTTGAGGATGGTGCTGCTGCCTCCAACATGGAGGAAGTGGACTAATCTGTTATTCGGAAGTAGATACATCCTAATCGTAGCGGTACACACTAAAGGATCTGTAAAAAACACGTTTTGAACACGACCAATTTTGATCATGCGGCATTTGTTATGATATTTGAAAGAATGCACGTTAGCATTGTCGGGTAGGCATGAGGATTGCGGAAATGTCCACGTGTACAGCGTTCTCGAATTGTGAATACTGTACCCTGTAGTGGGAAGAGGAGCACAGAAAAAAGGTAATTTTTTTGGTGGGTTTTCGAACGGTTGAATGCAGCCAATGGCAAGTCGGTGGATCGGCGGCGTGGATGAGCCGCTTCCCGCCAAATGGCCCCCCCAGCTCAACGGCTATCTTGCCTGCCACCACCACTTGCTCCAACCAACCAGAACCAATCTGCCCACCTACCGATGCTCCCGCGACGCCACCCCTGCTGCATCCTTTCTCTCCTTGTCTTGTCAACGACTGTGAGCTTTTCCCTCATTCTTGACTCAACGTGATCACCCACTACTCCCTTCCCCCTAAGTCCATCTCCTGCACGCAGGCAACATGGAAAACTACCGGCGCACCGAGCTGCTCGGCCAAGGAACGTACGGCAAAGTGTACAAGGCGCATCACCTCCAAACAGGGCGCGTGGTGGCACTGAAGAAGACGATTCTCTCCAGCGACGACGAGGGCGTGCCAGCCACAACGCTGCGCGAGGTGTCCATCCTGCGCTCCCTGGACTCTCCCTATGTGGTCAAGCTCGAGGAGGTGGTGCACACGGAGTCGCGCACGGGGACGCCCATCCTGTTCCTCGTGTTCGAGTTCCTGGACCACGACCTGAAGCAGTTCATGACGTCCAAGTACGGCAAGGGCGCCGGCATCGAGCCGGCGCTCGCCAAGGAGTTCTGCTTCCAGATCCTGCTCGGGCTGCGCTACTGCCACGCCTCCTCCATCATGCACCGCGACCTCAAGCCGCAGAACCTGCTGATCGACGCGCAGACGTGCACGATCAAGCTGGCGGATTTCGGTCTCGGGCGCGTGTACTCGTTCCCAGTGGGCAAGTACACGCACGAGGTGGTGACGCTGTGGTACCGCGCGCCGGAGATCCTCCTCGGCACCAAGCAGTACTCGACGGGCGTGGACATGTGGTCGGTCGGGTGCATCCTCGCAGAGATGATCGTCGGACGCCCCCTCTTCACCGGCGAGTCGGAGATCGAGCAGCTGCTCTCCATCTTCCGCCTCCTCGGCACCCCCACCGCAGACACGTGGCACGGCGTCGGAGAGCTCCGCGACTGGCACGAGTACCCCAACTGGAGGGCGCAGGACCTCGTGACCGCCGTGCCCGCCCTCGCCGCGCTCGGCAAGGACGGGCTGGAGCTGTTCGCTAGCATGGTGCAGCTCGCGCCGAAGAAGCGCATCTCCGCGCTCGACGCGCTCAATAGCCCCTACTTTGATGACATTCGGCACAAGTACGCCGCAGGGGGGGAGAGGGCGCACGGCGCCGCGGATGATAAGGAGAATGAGGCGATGCGGAACGGGTTGTAGAGTAGGAGGCTGGGGTGTAATGTGCAGTGCAATCAATAACTTTTTGTAGGTAAACAGACGTGGTAGCGTGGTGTGCGTGGTGTTGCCTGTGTATGTGCGGGCACTTTTAGACGGGCGCGCCTCCAACGATGGCGCACCAGGGTGTTGCCTGTGTACAAGTATGTGCGGGCACCTCTAGACCGGTCGGTGGGCACCTCTAGACCGGTCGGTGGGCACCTCTAGACCGGTCGGTGGGCACCTCTAGACCGGCGCACCTCTATAACGATGGCGCACTAGGGTGTTTGCGAGCAAGTCCGCTTGCACGTTAAAAAGTAATAGAGCTAAGGGAATGGCCCCTGTGGAGTGTCCAGCAATGAAGGCTGAGGAAATCTCCGCCGCCGCCACGTTACCAACAACCAACCACCGCTTTTCTGTGTGTTCAACATTTTCTCCTGTATGAGACACCTGTCCCGAATTCCAGCCCTCCTCCTCGCGCCCTCATCCCTCCCTCTCCCCCTTCCGCAATATCGTAACACCTCACCCCCCACGTATCGCATCGCCCCTCCCCCCCCCCCCCCCCCGTCCCTGCTACCATGCCGGAGGAGTCACCCTCTCCCCCCGACGCCGCCATGGCTGTGCTCGCCATGCTCCCACCGCCGCGCTTCGCCTTCGCGTACGGCTCCGCCATCTTCCCGCAGGCCCACGTCCACGACCACGCCCACCGCATGATCGACCTAGTCCTGGCCGTGGACGACCCCCTGCACTGGCACACCATCAACCTGTCCCGCAACCGCGCCCACTACTCGGCTCTGCTCGCCGTGCTCGGCCCGCGCGCCGTCGTCTCACTGCAGCGCTCGGCCTTCGCCCCGCCGGTCTACTACAACACCATCCTCTCGCCGCGCCCGTTCAAGTACGGCGTCGTCGCCGTGTCCGACCTCGCCCGCGACCTGCGCCACTGGGACTCGCTCTACCTCTCCGGCCGCATGCACAAGCCCATCCGCACCCTCTCGCTCGCTCCGCCGCCCGGCCTGGCCGACGCCATGCGCGCCAACCTGTCCGCCGCCTCCGCCGCCGCCCTGCTCTCGCTGCCCCCGCGCTTCCGCGAGGACGACCTGTACACCGCCGTCGCCGCCCTTTCGTACCGCGGCGACGTCCGCATGCGCCTGGCCGTCGAGGTCCGCTCGAAGGTCGCCGATATCGTCCACGCGAACCGCCGCCGCTTCCGCACCCTGTACCAGCCGCTCGCCGTCGCCCAGGGCCTCGCCCACGCAAGCTCGGACGGCTTCTGGACCCGCGATGTCGCCCCGGCCGCCCAGGCCCGCTTGCTGCGACGCCTCCCGAGCCATATCCGCGAGACTGTGCGAAGGACCGTCGGCACTCATGAAGACGCTGGCGTCGACGCGCCTTTCCAGCACACTGGCGGCCGGCTCCGCGGTTGTCGGCGCGGTGGCCGCGGTCGTCGCGCGCTCGAGCATTCGCCAGTCGCTCAAGGGGCTGGCCACGGCCGGCTTGGGCACCAGCGCCCGGTACGTCGCGAGCAAGCTGC